GGGGGCGGGGGCGGAATGCGCTCCCCAGCCCCTCTAGCCCCGTGGAGGTACAACTCGAAGGCGTGAGGAGACCGCGACAGACCGGAATCGCAGCGCCGCGCGCCGTGTTCCCGAGCCTCACTTCCGGGAGAGGCGGGAAGTGGACGGGAAGGGGCGGGACCTGGACGTTGGCTCGCCCCGGTCGGTGAGCCTGGCGGCGCGGTACGCCTCTGTGGCGTCACGGCGCGGTCACTACCCTCCTATCTCGGACGCGGACACCCACGCGCTGTCAGACGTCGCGACTTGTGACGTCAGCGAGGAGGCTAGCATCTTCAACCCAGTATGGAATCCCGGAAAGGCCGCGTCGGGGACCTGACTCGAAACTTCCCGTTCCGCCCGCACAGCTGAGCGCAGCCCAGGTCCTGGGCCCGCGTGGTACTGACCCTGGATCCCTCTCCACCGCGGTGGCGCTCCTGCGCTCCCTGCTGATCCCCGGGATGCCAGGAGTCTCCGCCCGGGGCCTGTCCCACGAGGAGAGGCGGCAGCTAGCTGTGCACCTTACTCGCGTTGTGGCGCAGTACCGTTCCATCCTGGACGCCTACATCATCGTGAGGCCACAGGGCTGGGGAGGGTGCTTCTGGTCGTGTGCTTGCCTAGGTGATAGTAAAAGGGAGAGAATCTGGAGCTTTCGTCTCTAGCCTCTTCGTCTATGTTTCAGTCTTTTGCCTGTACAAGAAAGGGTTAAAACTGGGACTATGCCCTCTCTGTTTTCAGGTAGCTTATTGCAATTGCTGGATAGATACACAGAGGGGGCAAAGTGAGAAATCACCCCCCAGAGGGGATGGCCGCGCTGCAATCCCTTTTCCTTCATTCTTCTCTCCAGATTTTGGGCACACACACTTGCCCAGTGCTTTTCAAGTCTCCTGGTCTGGGAATTGAACTGCGTAGTTGGCCATATGGGATCCAGTCACCCTAACCACACCACCTGGCTGGCTCGGTGTTAACATTTCTAACCTGTAGATTGTTTTTGTAACCTTCCATAATTTACCATAATAAAACACATGGACATTTGAGCCAAGCCGCTCTCAAAACTCCTAAAGGTAGGGATGTTCCAAGAACACGTGTTTGTTCATCCAGGCTTTGAATCAGTTCCTGGTTTTGTGGTGTTGTGGAGAGTTCCACTTTGACATCATACAGACTTGGACTGAGATCCTTGCCTCCCTGAGCCAGCAGGCGATGTGAAGGTTAAGGCACCAGATCCCACATGGTAGTCCTGGACCCAGCAACTTGAAAATCCCCCTGAGGATGTGAACATGCAGGCACGAATGCGCAAAATCCTGAGAGGAGAAGGGATTGTGGAGTGGAAATGCTCCCTGGGGAGTAATTTCTCGCTCCCCCTTCCCCCAGTGCACACACCCTATAGCAAAGAATAATAAAGAATAAACAAATTTTAAAAACCCTGCCTTCCGTAGAAGGTTAGGCTTTTTTTTGTCCCCCATTCCTAGTCCCAATTTCCCCCGCTTCACAAAGTGGGTCTTTGTGAGGAGTAAATGAGATATGGAAATGGCACTGTCATCCACTGAATTATTTAGACCCCATACCCAGAAGCCATCCTCGATTCAGCTCCTTCCTTCATTGACCCACCATCTAGTCCTTTAGCAAATCCTCTTAGCTCTACCTTCAGAATAGATCCCAAATTCATCTGTTTGTCTCCACTATTGCTACTACCACCCTCGGTCGGGCCACTATCATGTCTCTCCTAAACTTCCCAACCTGTCTCTGCGTTTACTGCTGCCCCTCCATAACCAAATCTTCACTGAGCACCAGATTGCAGTGTTTCAAATATAAACCTGATCCCCACACTCCCTTGTTTCCTGATGCTTTCATGAAGCCCCACCTCCTGCTCCTCGTTACCTACCCGACCTGGCCTCTGCTGCCTCTTTGGCTCCCTCCCATTTCATTCTCCCACAGGCACGGTGCTCTACTGCACTTGGCTTCTGTTCCACAGATACGGCAGGCATCTGGGCTTTGCACCTTCTGGTCTGCCTAGAATGCTTTCCTCCCACAGAAAAATAGAGCTGAATAACTAAGAGTAAAGACACTAGCCTGAAATTGGTTTCAGGGGCCAGCAGATGGCAGGGTGGTTAAGGCAGCTGGACTCTCACATGGCTGACTGCAGTTCGAGTCCTGAACCTCACAGCTTACTTTCTCACTTTTCCTCTCTGGTCAACTTAAAAAATAATAAAAAAAATTAATAATGACAATGAATAAAATTAAATAATAATAAAAGAAGGAAATTGGTTTCAAACCCCCCTTCTGCTACTTACTGGCTTTTTGACGTGGGCAAGTTATTTAAGTGCTGTGTTTCAGTGTCTTCATCTGTAAAATGGGGTATAAAAATACTATAAAAATAGTATGTACCAGGGTCAGCTGTGGCATGGTGGTGAAGGTGGCTGGATCCCACATGGCTGATTGAGTGGTTTGAGTCCTGAACCTGGCAGCTTGAGAAACACACTGAGCGAGTTTGCTTTCATGCCCAAAATCCTGAAATGAGAAATGAAGGACAAGGGATTGTGACATGACTATTCCATGAGGGTTGTTTTAAAATAAAGTATGTACCAGGCCAGGCCATAGTGTTGTGGTTAAGGGAGCTAGATCCCATGTGGATGACTGTGTGGTTCAAGTCCTGGACCCAGCAGCTTGAAAAACATGCTGGATGTATGTGCATGTGTGCCCAAAATCCCAGAAGGAGAGAAGTAGAGGAAAAGAGATTGCTGTGTGACCATCCTCCATGGGGGAGCAGGGGCTTTCTCACTTTCACTCTCTCTCTATCTGCTGGTGAATACATATGCCCTATAGCAAATTAAAAATAATAATACTGAGGCCAGCAGGTGGTGTGGTGGTTAAGGTGCTGGATACTCCCACATGGCCAACCATGGTTCAAGTCCCAGACCTGGTGGATTACTTTCTCACTTTCCCTTCCTCTCTATCTCTCTCTGGTCAAATTAAAATAAACGAATGAACAAAGAAAAATAATTCTTAAAAAATAATACTAATGCGAACCAGCAGTTAGCATAATGGCTATGTCGCTGGACTTCCATGTAGTCCACCGTGGTTAGCGTCCCAGACCCAGTGGCTTAAAACTCACGCCGGGCGCGTGTGCGTGCGTGTCCAAGATCCTGAGAGGAGAATGGAGGAGAAGGGATTGCGGTGTGGCCATTCCCCTGGGAGGTAATTTCTCGCCTTCTGTCTCTATGTCTCTCTCTGTCTGGCGAGTGCACACACCCTATAGCAAAAATCTCTCCAAAAAAATACTAATGAATAAAATTCAATAAATAATTGTGGAGTTTTTTGAGAGAGAGAGATTTTTGCTATAGGGTGTGTGCACTCGCCAGACAGAGAGAGACATAGAGACAGAAGGCGAGAAAGCCCCTCCCAGGGGAATGGCCACCCCGCAATCCCTTCTCCTCCATTCTCCTCTCAGGATCTTGGACACGCACGCACACGCGCCCGGCGTGAGTTTTAAGCTACTGGGTCTGGGACGCTAACCACGGTGGACTACATGGAAGTCCAGCGACATAGCCATTACACTAACTGCTGGTCCCAAATAAGTAATTCTTGGGAAAACAAACAAAAACACAATATCTAGCTGAGTGGAGGGAACACACCTGAGTGGGGAAATTGCTGTTAGCACAGGTGCATCCAGATGCAACTTGAGGTCCCAGAAAGCAGAAGGCAGGTGTTTGAGTGTTGGGAGAGGCTGGAGGGTGAGAAGCGCCTGCCGGTCACAGCTAGTGGCCCCGTGAGGCAGCAGTGCTGGGGAGAGACTATGACAAAGATGACAGTCTCTGACCAAAATGACAGTCTCTGGCTAAAAATAGACTCCTAAAATCCTAATTTCCTTAGTGGTCTCAGTCTTTTTTTTTTGGAGAAGTGTTTTGTTTGTTTGTTTGCTATAGGGCACATGGACTCATTTGAAAAAGAGAGAGAGACAGAAAGGGAGATATCACCCCCTAAGGGGATGGCCATGTCACAATCCCTTCTCCTCTCAGGATCTTGGGCACACACCCAGCTTGATTTTAAGCCACCAGGTCTGGGACTTGAACTCTGGTCACCTACATGGGAGTCCAGTGACCTAGCCATTACACCAATTGCTGGTCCCAGTGGTCTCGGTCTTTATACTATCTCACACCACAACAAGACGAGGTGAGGTGTTAAGAGAGGCCCAGAAGAATGAGAATGGTGGCAGTCCCCTGATTGCTTCTCCCCTCTTCCTGCAGGAATTTTTCACCGACAATCTGTGGGGCACACTCCCTTGTTCCTGGCAAGAAGCGCTGGATGGACTGAGCCCACCACAGCTGGCTGCACTGCTCCTGGGGATGCCAGGGTCAGGGGAGGAGGTCAGGTATGGGCTAGAGGGCTCTGGGCCAGGGAAGGCAGGGTCCTGAGCCCCACAGTGAGGATCTCATGAGGTCTCCTGGACCTCCGAGTTGTAAGCTGGTGTGATGGGACTACTCACTGGAGGCCTGGGCCGGGCTGTCTCAGGTACAGGTCGGTGTGGCCACTCACCCTGCTGGCTCTGAAGTCCACAGCCTGTGCCCTTGCCTTTACCCGAACACCTGGCTTCCAGACGCCCTCGGAGTTCCTGGAGAACCCAAGCCAGAGCTCCCGGCTAACAGCTCCATTCCGGAAGCACGTCAGGCCCAAGAAGCAGCATGAGATCCGGAGGCTGGGAGAGGTGAGGCGATCCAGGGATGTGTTGCTGTGTGTGAGCACAGGACTCGTCATACTGTGGGTTACAAAGATGGGCACCATGGGGGGCCAGCAGATGACGTAGTGGTTAAGATGCTGTACTCCCACATGGTCAACTGTGGTTTGAGTCCCGGACCTGGCAGCTTGAAATTCATACCACGCATGTGCGCACCCAAAATCCCAAGGAGAGAATGGAAGAGAAGGGATTGTGGTGTGGTCATTCTTCCTAGGGGGTTATTTCTTGCTTTCTTTCAGTCTCTCTGTCTCTGTGGCAAGCACATGCGCCCTTACAGCAAAAATCTCTAAAAAGATGTGCCCTGGGACCGGCAGTTAGCATAATGGCTATGTTGCTGAACTCCCATGTAGCCGACCATGGTTTGAGTCCCGGACCTGGTGGCTTAAACTCACACCAGGCACGTGTGCGTGCATGCCCAAGATTCCGAGAGGAGAAGGGATTGTGGTGTGGCCATCCCCCTAGGGGTGATTTCTCACTTTCTGTCTCTCTTTCTGTCTCTGCCTTTCTGGTGAGCACATGCGCCCTATAGCAAAACCTCTCCCAAAAAAAGAAAAAAAAGATGTGCCCCAACTTCACATGCAGGCCCATAGGCCTTGAATGTTGTCCTCAGCAGATGGACTGTAATTATATCTCAGTGCTAGGGTTGGGATTTTTTTGTCGTCTCATTGTTTTGCGGGGTTGGTTGGTGACTGGCTCTGAATCGTGGCTTATTCCTGTCCTCACTTCCCTCCATCTGCTCGTGGCCTCACTGCAGAGCTCTCCTCTGTCAGATTGCAGCTGTGGTATAAAGGGCTGGGACCATGACCTGAATCTCGGGTCAGTACGCAGCCTCACCCGTTTTGGTCTCTACACCTGTCGTCTCTTCCCTGGCACCCTGGATCCATCTTCCTGTTGTCTCCACCACTGTCCTGGGGGCGTTTGCCTCAGGGGTCAAGGACAAATGGCCATAAGGACTTTGCTTCCTTCCTCTTGCAGCTGGTGAAGAAGCTGAGTGACCTCACGGGCTGTACCCAGGTTGTGGATGTGGGCTCAGGCCAGGTGAGCCAGACCCCTAATAAACGGTTTTGCTTTCTAAAAATCTGTGTGTGTGTGTGTGTGTGTGTGTGTGTGTGTGTGTAATTTCTTCCTTAAGAGAGAGAGACATGCCGGCAGGTGGCGTGGTGGTTAAGGTCGCTGGACTCCCACATGGCCAGCTGTGCTTCGAGTCCCAGACCTGTAGGCTTGCTTTCTCACTTTACCCCCTCCCTCCCTCTCTCTCCGTCTTTCTTTTTGTTCCTTTCTGGTCAAATTAAAATAAAATAAATAAATAAAGATAAAATAAAATGATTTTTTAAAAATATAAAAGAGAGAGACAGGACAGAGAAACGAGCACGCCCAGCGGGTCTTCACACTGCAGTCTGTGCCGGCTCAGCTGGCCTGGACCACAGGTGTGAAAATGCACACCTGGTGCACTCAGGGAGATCCTGAATATGAACCCAGGACCTTTGCCATGTGGGTCCAGTTGCATTTCCACTGTGCTACTACTGGCCCCAAACATCCTGGTCTTTGAGTCAGGAGGATAGAACAGCCAGAAGGCAAGTTCTTAGTCTACCAGCCTAGCGAGACTGGCGCTGAGAACTGCTGGAACCATGTGGGGCAGAGTTTAAGTATCCAGGCCAGCAGGAAGGGAGACCACAGATAGGGTACTGAACAGGGCTGTCTCTATAACCTGTCTCCCACCTCTAGGGCCATCTCTCCCGCTTCATGTCTCTGGGGCTGGGGCTGATGGTGAAGAGCATTGAAGGGGATCAGAGACTGGTGGAGAGAGCCCAGCGCCTGGACCAGGAGCTCCTGCAGGCTCTGGAGAAGGAGGAGAAGAGGAATCCCCAGGTAGGCTATTCCCTCCTGCAGCCATGCCACAGGAGCAGGGTCTGTGGGCTGGAGTTGAGCAGAGGCTGCATCACCTCGTTGCTCAGCCTGGGGTGATGTGGTCTTGCTTGTGCCACCTCTTCCCCAAGGTCCCCTTTTCCTTAAAGCCTCCCCACACCCAAGGGCACTTTCTAGTTCCAAAGTCCTTTCCACACCGGTCGGTACTTCTCATAGCCACCTGGGCAGTGGCCAGTCTCGTAGTAGACTCATGGCAGCAGGAGAGTGGGCCTCAGAGATGGAAAGATGCATAAGTTGGTGGTAGATCTAGAATATATCTCATTGCTTGATTCTTGGTCCAGGTCTGTCCTGTGCCCCAGCTTCTCTCCCTCATTCCTCCTGGGTAGGGACACAGAGGACAGTCCTCTGTGGTGGCCTGAGACAGCGAACAGACTCTCCATCTGCCTCTGTCCTCCCTGCCCACAGGTGGCCCAGCCCTGCCCCCGCCGCTCCCCGCACCACGTGGTTAGGTGGGTGGACACCACAGCGCTGTGCGAGGAGCTTCTGCTTCCACTGGAGAAGCCGCATCAGGGCGGGGCCCGCCTGCTGCTCACAGGCCTCCATGCCTGTGGGGATCTGAGTGTGGCCCTGCTGAGGCACTTCTGCTACTGCCCCGAGGTGGTGGCCCTGGCCTCCGTGGGCTGCTGCTATATGAAGTTGAGTGACCCGGGTGGCTACCCACTTAGTCAGTGGGTGGCTGGGCTGCCTGGCTGTGAGCTGCCCTACCGGCTCCGGGAGGGAGCCTGCCATGCCCTGGAGGAATACGCTGAGCGGCTGCAGAAAGCTGGCCCCAGCCTGCGGACCCACTGCTACCGAGCTGCGCTGGAGACAGTCATCCGACATGCCCGGCCCGAGCTCCGGCGGCCAGGCGTGCAAGGCATCCCCAGAGTTCACGAGCTCAAGATTGAAGAGTGAGGCTGGGGGAGGCGGGGCGGGGAGCATCACCCACTGCAGCTCTGACTCCCCTCAGATCTGAACACACCCAGAGGGGGGAGCTCGAATTCTCTAACTGGGGCAGCATCTCAAAAAATATAAGTTTGTTTATTTAGTCAATGAACAATAGAAAGACAGGTGTCCCCAACAGGGTCTTCATGCTGTGATCCACCCCCAGCATCAGCCAGCGTGGATTATGGGCACGTGAGTGGCCCAGTGTGTTCAGGGAGGTCTGCTGTCACCCTGGAACCTTCCCACGTGGGTCGGACTCACAGAATGTCACGTTTTACTGCTGTGTTACTACCCAGTCCCTCCCTCAAGGATTTTTTTTTTTTAAGACATTTTTGTTATAGGTACATACACTCACTGGAGAGACAGAGAAACTGAGAGAAAGTGAGAAGTCACCGCCCCAGGGGAGAGATGGCCACACCACAATCCCTTCTCCATTTTCCTCCTGGGATTTTGGGCACACGCTCATGTACGACTGGCATGAGTTTCAGGTCCAGGACTTGAACTGTGCTTGGCCATGTGGGAGTCCAACACTTTAACCACTATGCTGCCTGCTGGCCCTCAAGCTTTCCTTAAAAGGGAGTTGTCCCTCATCAGGAGATTCAAAGAAATACAAGTTGTTTTTTTCCTTAATAGTGTGTGTGTGTGCACTCGACAGAGAGGGAAAGAAAGAAATGACCACCCCTCGCCTAGTGGGGATGGCCATGCCACATCCCTTCTCCAGTCTCAGAATTTTGGGCTCACATGCATGTGTGCCCAGTGTGATTTTCAAGCCGCAGGGTCTGGAACTTGAACTATAGTCAGCCATGTTGGAATCTAGCACCTTAACCACCATGCCACCTGCTGGCCCCACGAGGCTTTTTAAAAATGTTAAAAATAGGGCTGTTAGGACAGAACTGGCTGAAAGTAAATTTGGGTCAGTTTGCTTAAGACAGAGCAGCATTTAAACTTTCATAGTCGGGCAGCAAATAAGTGAAGTCGGGGTGCCTTAGGAACAGGCAAGGTTTAAGTGGGAGGTAAGAGTTTCTCAAAGCCCAACTGGGTGCTGTTTCTACCGACCCCACAGGTATGTGCAGCGGGGGCTGCAGCGGGTGGGGCTGGGGCC